ATGTAGAAGGGCTTTTTAAAAAGGTAAACTTTGGTCTGTAGTGCATTGTTAAGCACATTAATAATTTAAAAATATTAAGGCCAGTTCTTTTCTTTATTCCGTGGAAATGAAGGGAAGATAGACAGTCTCTTCCTGTTTCATTATTTGAATAACAGAAGAGAAACTTGATCCTTTTCTAGACTTAGGGACGGCCAAGAAGGGTGGTGGGGAAGCCAACCTAATGCTCTGCAAAAAAATGTGCTTCTCTGGCAGGGAGCCACAGCTGGAGCTCAGCGAAGGGAACCACTCAAGTGTGCAAGCACCAGCCCCATCAACTTTCTGGCATGTGCTCCAAAATTTTGCAGAAAGGAAGCAGCCCACAAACAGGGCTACCGATTTCAGCATGCTGTTCTCTTGCTATGGCAGGTCTCTGAATAGCATGCACAGTACCCCACAGTAGCAGCAAACTAAACCTAAGTCGTCTACTCTTAACAATTCAATAGAATGCCAATGAGAAGCCAGTTTTTCCAGAGTCTATGCTCTTTCAGGAATTGATGACAGGTCAGCACCTGAGCCAGTAGGGGGTCATCACTCCTGTGAGTTCATCAGGCGAGAGAATCGCCTCACTGCAAAAATGCTCCAAGGAGTGCCAAGACTGTTACACTCAGTGCCAGCAGTGTTAGACCCAGTGTGCCGCCGTTTGCTTATCTGCAATACTTTCCCTAGTTGTCTCACAAATTTTCTCTAAGGTTGAAACATGCTAATATATGTAAAACGTGCTGCACATACATGTGATATTCTGAAATGTAACTGGATATTATCTTAATTACACAAGGCATCAATATGGTTGAAGCTAGATTTGCTTAATTTGCTTTATTCAGCATTATACAAAATTATTCAAAGATAAATGTTAATAAATGTGTATCATTATAGTGAAAGTATTGATAATCAGACCAATTTAAAAAATGTTTTTACTTTATAAAAAGCAATATACTCAAGAATGAGTAATTGTTTCTGCTTTGAGTTATCTAGATAATATCATTATCTTTCTAGCTGTTCTGAGGTACCGTTACATTAGAAACTACCACAGGGCATAAGGGGGAGGTTTCAAAGAAGTAGGGCTCCTGTCTCCCCTCTCAAACATTAACCAGAACAGCCACTGTTATCTACTCAAAATATGAAGGTCCCGAATAAGACTTTGAAAGAGTCTGATTTTATAATAAAAAACATGAAAGTATTTTTCCACAGAATAAATTCTATAAGGATCAAAAATATGCGATTAAAAATTATATGGAACTATCTTGTACAAACATTACCTTTTAAAAAAATGACTGTACAATCAAATATTGGCATATGCCCAGAAAGCTCCTGTTTTCACAGCCAATGTTCTTTCTTCTTTACCTCTCCTCGACACTATCATATTTATAAAATAAGTCTTTAGCTTTATGTACATTTCTTGAATATACAAACAAAAGTGAGGATGGAATTAATCACATGAGGGTTATTTCTGAATGATGTAAGCAATAAGGTACCATAATTTTCAATAAGGAAACCGAGCAAAATAAATTCTAATTTAGAGGCCAAAATAATCTCACTCAACATCGCACTTGTCTTTAATATCATTACATTAATAATTTTATAAATATCTTAATATTTATATCATTTTAATTTAATATTGGCTATATGCTTGCCTTACACTCAGATTTAGATAGATATAAATTATAAAAGAACACTTGACAAGACAAATAACATTAAGCTGGCCTGAAAAATAGTGTGTAGTATTTATGAACTTGTTTTTTAAAAAACGAATAAGCCACTTATTTTAAGGTTAAAACTATAACCATTTACACAATTATGTTTGCGTATTTCCAAATTATTATTTTATTTAAAGATACCGTGTATCAGTTTTTTAAAAAATTCAGTTTTGCCACACTAACCTGTGACATTTCAGATGATTCAGAGAAAAGATATTCTTTTTTAAAAAAAAAAGAAACCCAGAATTGAAGAAACTCTTTATATACCTTTAAATCCTATAGACTTCATGCATGTTCACAAAGAAAACCTTTTAATAATTTTTCAAAATGCAGGTGTGCAAATTACTCCTGAAATAGACAGGAGTCATGTTTTCAGTATACCCTGAACCACTGTTAAACACACCCCATAGCATTTTTCAGCTCATAAAACTTTTATGAGCTGAAAAGTTCCTTCAGATTTTTTTAACTGCTAACTATAGTTACCCTCTAGCAACAGCACCCTAAGTTACTATTAAGATCCATTTAAGTAAATATAACATAAACGTGTTCTGAGTAGCATGTTTTGTTTCATAGCAGTAAAAAAGAAAAAAAGAAAAAAAATCAAGATTTATATAACTTGCTGAGTGCAGCAAAAAAATTATGAATGCCTTGGTTTAGTGTAGCATGGGTGGTATTTTTGCTTACTTGTATATTCAGTATGTGTAGAGGTCAATTCTATGTTTGTGCTTAAATTTATACAAGTTCATACATGTACCAAGGATTTTCCAGTCTGGAAAAATGTGCCTTGATACATAAAAAGGTTGGTTTTTCAGGCATAGATGTATTTTTTTTATTAATGTACACCTGCCTTAGAACTCATTAATTTAACAGCTGCTGTAGAGTTTTCCCTTGCTAAAGTTCAAAATGCTTGAAAAACTAAATTTCTTATAGGAAACAAATAAAATAAGTAAAAGTAAGCAGTTGGATCTGAGCAAACCTCACTGTTTTGTTAAGATAAATATTATGCTTTTAGTCATAAGGAGAATGGCTCATATAAAGCAAAAGAAAATGATAGACAGGAGAGAGAGAGAAGAATGGAGAGAAAGCTAGACAGATACAGGCTCCCCCTCCCCACCCCACCCCCACACACACACTGGAATCCTGTCCTGAAGGAGCTAGCGAAGTATGCCCTGTCCACAGAGTTTTCTGACCTATTGTTATCAATGCTGATTAAAAGTTAGTTCAAAGACAAATCATGGTCTCATATTTTAAAAGTGGAAGAAAGAAGGGGAAACACCTAGTCATGTCTCGCAAATTCAGCTGAATTAAGTTCACAACTCAAATTATAAATATGCACCTTTGTATAAATGGTTTCTGGGTTAGGTTACTAAGACCCTCCATTCTGAGTAACCATTTATAAACTTAGTTGGGCCCCCCACCGCCCCGCCCTCCGCAATCACTGCCAGCTCTTTCAGGGAGATCAAGTTTCACTTTCCCATTTTGTAATTTGATAAATCTAACCTTAACACACAGTTTACCATTTAGAAGAGTTTTTAAATGCAGAACACTTTTTACTGTTTTCTAGATCACTTGATTCAATTTAGTATCTATACTAACGAAAGAATAAATTCAGAAAAACTGCTGCATAGTTATTCACTCAAATAACATTTTAATTCTCAAATTAAGTGTGAGTAGTAATTCCTTTTTGCTTCTCTTCACTTCTTGCTTTTTATAGTAGTACCTTCTTGTCACTCTTCCAACCCTACTAACGGCAACCCTCATTCCCACTGCTTGGCAACTCATCTTTCTCCAACTCCAGTTCCAAGAGGCAGAAAAGGAATGGAAGAGAGAGGAAATATGTTATGGTCTCTGAGAAACAGGAAAATAATGCTCCAATCCTGGCCTCTTTCAATTGTATGGGAAAGTGAAAATTAACTTCAATATTCTGGGAATGTGTTACCATCTCTGCTACTCACTTCTTCCACAAGAGCTTTTACACTGAGAAAATTCTGGGTAGTTGAAGCCGAAGTTTCCACCTACAGTATTGCAAGGCAACTAACTTGACAACAGAGTCACCTGTTTGTTCCCAACAGGTACAATCCTGAGCACTCAAATGAGGATAACATCACTCTTAAGAAAAATGATTTCCTGAGGGAAATATCCCAAAAGTAAAAGAGAAAACCAGCTAAAAAATTCTTCTAGCCCAACTTCTCAGAACCATGTCTAGAAAAAAATGAGTATTTATTCATTTAATTCACATATCAAAACTAGCATATAGCAACTTAACAAAAATCAATTATCTGAACTTCTAAATTGGAAAGAGACAAACCTGAATTGATCTATTGAACTGTATGAGTTATATATTCTTAACTCAGCTTACCAAAATTAAAAAGAGGGTGCGGTCTGACTTTTAGGAAGGAATAGTTATATTTGATAATGAAAATTTCAACTATTAATCTTAAAAAAGAAAACAGCTTTTAAGCATTTTGCCAGAAAAATAAAATATTCGTGCAAAATAAAAGACATTGCAAATATTCCTAGAGATAAAACAATTAGATCATAAAATAAATAACATTATAGCCTGGCTTTAGGGAACAGACATAATGCTAACATATCCGCCTTCTGAAATTATATTTGATACAATGAATTATGGAATTTCCCAAAACTGAGCTAGACTGTATTTGTTCTAAATATTTAAAGCCTCGTTAAAATACCCCAAAACAACAGCTCAAATACACATTGAACTTGCATGAAAATAACGTTTAAATGACAGACCTATTACCCACCATTAGTCATATAATAAACCTGCAAATTCCTGGAAGAGAAAAAAACAAAATAAACCTTTAGATCTCTGTCAAGCCTAGGAATATGAAATACAGTTTAGCTGTCCACAATGTAAGTACTGAAGGTTAATAGTTAAAGACCAATGGAATGTTAACACAGTCTAGTACTACACTTGAGTAGTAATGCATGGAAAGACATTGAAATTAAAACATTTTGTTGTGCATGTTCTGAAGTGATGTAATGTGATGATTTGGTTATATTAGATGACAAAGCAGGGCTTTTATGACTTTTAAAATAAAATCGTATCTAACATTCTTCCAAATTGTTTAACACATTCTTCCAATTCTTGTACAAATATTGACGCTAAAACACAGAATTTTTTCACACTCCAGTTATCTTCTAATGGCAGCATTTGGCATGTTGATTTTTTTTTTTTTCCAAAAGTAATTTTCAAGATAAAATGCTGATTGCCTTGGCTGGTATGTCTAGAAAGCAAAGACTTACCTGTCTTGTTTTCTCTGACCTCAATAATAAAAATATTTATGTCAGAGTAGGATTTGGTCCCCGTCGGGGGTTCTGGAGTAGAAAATGGCTGAGGTCTGAAGGCCTCTTTGCCTTTCACAGTGGGTGGTCTTGTTGGCTGTGTAGCAGAAGGAGTACTTGAAGTTGTGAAATACTCTCTATCAATATCGGTTTCTGTTTCCTTGGCTACAATATCAACAGTAGTGGGAGGAACATGAGATGTTGATTCTGCAATGATTACCATGTCACTGGTTGTTTCTTCACCAGGTTCCCTGTCAAGGAAAGGCAGTTTCTCAGTGGATGCTGAGGATGTCTTGAATGATGAAATTGTGTGAAGTCTGTCAACTTCCCTTGGACTGGTACCTTCTCTTTCATATTTTTGTGTGGGCCCTGGACTTAAAGATACTTTCGGCCCCGTGCGTGGTGTTAGTGTTACCACTTCATCTGTTTTTGCTTTGGGCTCAGTGACAACAGCAGGTGGATAAAACATACTGGGCTCAATTTTTCCATTTGGAGTTGTTCCTAAAACTGGGACTCTCTCAGAATCTGTCACCAATTGGTCTTCTGAGATAGTATATGCCGACCGATCACTTTCTTGTTCATCCAAAGGTGGTGTTGCCTCCTTGGCTGTGCCAGCTGTAGAACTGAGAGCAGGGACTGGTTTCTCTGGAGTCTGTTCTTCCCAAGGGAATTCTTCTTGAGTTGTAATTCTTCCCGGTGTAATTTCTTTTGTTGTTCTTACAGTTTCAGGAGAAATAGTTGCTTCAAGGTGAGTCCGACCAATGACATGTATGTCTTGAGAGGGTTCACTTAGAACTTCACCTTGTGATGGGATGGAAGATACCGACACTCCCCATTCTGTCTTGGGAATTATAGAAAGAGAAATGGTATGGAAAGTGTTTACATAAGTAGTAGGCTCTTGGGTGCTACTATAATTGACAAATGCAGATCCTTCCACATCTGAAGTGTGTGTAAATTGGGAGACAGTAGATACGGGCTTAGAGACATCCATATCTTCTTCATCTAAAGCACTTCCTTCTATGGTTGCATGAATGACTTGACCTGTTGTGCTTGTGATAGGTAGAACTCTTTCTTCAGTTGTAGAATCTCTCAAAGTTGACTTTTCTGCAATGCCAATTGATGTAGTTGGCTGAAATCTAATTGTGAATTTCTCATGGTCTGTTGTGTCTTCCTCAGTAAACTTCTCTAATGGCTTTTGAGTACTATCTGGGATAAGACTAAATTCATCTCCTTCATCTTCAGTGAAACTTGGTATTTCTTTATCCTTTCTACTCACTCCTACAGTGGTGAGTAAGGCAGTGGGCAGTTTTGGAGAGCCTGAATGTTCTGTGGACGTGAATGGCTTTGCAGTTGTATTATCTTCATCCCATGGCCATTTTGATACAGTGACTACCTCCACATTTAAAGTGCTATGGGTGAAATGCACGGTTGTAATATCCTCATCATCCTTTGTGATATCTTGATAGCCATCTCTTTCTAATCCAACTGGAGTTGTAAAGTCGTCCTCCACATCTCTTGCCTTTGTTGGCACCATGCTTAGTTTTGTTGTTGTCACTGCTGGGGATTCAAAAGATTTGGTTATCTCCACTGAAGATTCGGTAAGATGAATTTGCTCTGAGGAAGCTGTAGAGAACTTCATTCCAGAGAAGACTTCTTCCTCGATTTTTTCTGTAAATGGATCTTTTGTGATCTTTTCCCGTATTTCATTATTAGTATAAGTATCTGTTCTCATCTCTGGTCTTAGTGTTTCTGTTCTTTCTCTTCCTTGTGTCCTTTCCGTTTGTGAGGAGGGATAAATCATTGTGGATATTCCCTTGACTAATCTTTCATCACCAGAATAAGGAAACGACTCTACTTCCGTATGATGCTGTGATGGGAAAGATGTGGTGGATACATATTGGCCAAAAAAATCTTCAGTTTTCCTACCATTAGTTTGTTTTTCTTCCGAGCTGTCCATGGATGATCCGTCATTGTCAGGCACAGTTACAGGTGAGACAGTTGTCGATACTGAGACTGATTCTACATCATCTAGTTGAGTATGGGTAGTGTCTTCTGAAGTCTTTGACACTGTAATGATTTCAGGTATTTGGCTAAAGACCAAGGTGCTCTGACCAGATCTAACTGTAAGTGTTCTGTCTTCACTATCATCTTCTCCCATGGTGAATTCATAGCGGGTTGTAGTCACCAATTCAGAAATTGTGCTTACTGTCTTCTTTTCAGTTTTAGATTCCAGGGTCATTGTTGTAGATACAAATGGTGTTTCAGTTACAGAGAATTCCTTAGAAGGACTATGCTTTGAGATTTCCATAGATGTTACCAAGGGACCTACTTCTATTTGTTCAATTTGCATAATTGATTCTTGTGTTTGTGTATCTTCCATGACGCCACCCTGTGAATCAGTAGTATGATGGGAGATGACAGCTGTACTTTGGGGCACTTCCTCCTGAATTTCAGATATATCTGGCTTTCCAAGTTGTCCTGAAACAGAAGGTGAGTAATAGTCCATAGCCCAAGGCTTCTTGGTACTCCTAGCAAGTGTGGGTGATTCAGTGGCTAATCTGTGTGTGACAGCTTGAGACTGAACTGTGGATTTCTGTTCAAAATTGATTATATTTCTCACAGAAGGGAACTTTGTTGTAATAACAGGTAAGTCAGTGATTACAGGGATGATTGGTGTAGTTCTGTCAGGTACCATTTGCAGTTCTTTGGATAAACTGTCTGATGCAGTTTCTGCAAGGATATTCGGCTCGATGGTTGTAGCCTCTGATATATTCTGTTTAGCTAGAAAAATAATTTCAAAGAGTGGATTAGACAAGTCACTAATAAAAAGTTGTACGTCCAGTGTTTGTTAAGTGCTGCTGTGTATTTTGGAGTGACCCAAACGTGTTTTGTGATGAATAGGAGTCTAAAACCCATACTTAAATTAACCCAAAGACAGACAATTGAACATTTAATGGTCACGAATTGATCACTTGTTTTATATTGTAAAGATTATCACTGCTTTTACTCATGGGTATAAATTAATGTTCTTGGTTAAAGAAAATGAATATTATATAGTTTTAAAATAAGGAGATGCCTAAAAATATATAAATTCAGAGTTTGGAAACAGTAGTTAGATGATTTACTAGAAATTAGGCCAGCAACTTTAAGCCTAGTAGGAGAACTTAGTACTCCTATTCTGGATGCTTCTGTACCCTGCCTCTAGTTTTCTCCCTCCTTCTCAAGCTGCATAGCGTCTCAGGAGAGTGGGAGTGCCTCAGATTGCAAAACAACAAAAAGCCACATCAAATGTACCCAAATTACTTATAAACTATTACATTGTCCATAATGTGGAGGGTTTCATAAAAACAGGATATTAAACTTTTTAATACCGCCCTTCACTTGATTCCAGGTGTTGGACATTCGTCTTCTTTCTTTCAACTCTGTAATGGGGGCTTGTTTCTAATAAATAACAAAATGTTTCTGGCAGAGGCTGCTTGGCATTTGTTGTGCTTCTACATTTTGTTCTATGTTGTACACACTATGCTTGTAACTCTTAAGGGTCTTGGTTCCAGGCTTACTTTAGCATGAAACCCAAACCTAGAACAGGAAATAAAGTACCCGCATGATATATTTTCGGTCTGTAATTACAAAACACTGTAAACAACCCTGAGCATCAGAAAGAATGGACTCAGGCAATAAAAAGTAACATGTCATCATAAAATGCTACATTATAATGCTTCCAGATTTACAGGGAATGGCCTAGCCTGTTTAAAGAAATTTAAATTGTGTATAAAAGTGAATGTTGTAGACAAGATTCTTTCTCAACATGGGAGAAATGTGGCAGCTTAATACATAAAGATTCTGTTTTGTTTTGTTTTTTTTAATTCAGCCTTTCAATAATCAAAAACTAGTTGCCACTAAATTCAGAAAGAACTACTCTGAGGAAATTTGTAGTCATTGTTTTGCTACATCTTGTATGACTTAAAACCAGTTGTTTGGGTAATGCCTATTCCCCTGATAAGAGTTATGTCTGTACTATCTACAATATCTTGTGTCTTACTCCCAAAACAAGAGTCCTTGGAAAACAAAACTGGATACCTTTGAGCTCCGTCCACTCTGTCAAAACTTAATGATACTAGGTCAGTGAAATTGCTCTCTGTGATATAAGAATGTTAAATACATTTCACTACATATTTGTCCAAACCCGTAGAATATACAACTCAAAAAGTGAACCTTAATGTAAACTATGGACTTTAAATGATTACAGATCTATGTGGGTTCATCAATTATAATAAATGTTCCACTCTGGAAAGGAATGTTGATAATGGGAGACACTATACCTGAGTGGGGATTGGGAGTAAAGCGGAAATCACTGCATCATCTAAACTGCTCTAAAAAATAAAGTATTTTAAAGATTTCATAATAAAATGATGTGATTCTTTTTGTAAATCAGACTCGAGCTGTAATAGGTTCTTCTTTTTTTGGTTTGGTTTGAGTTGTTATTAGCTCTGGTCATTCCTCAGACCATTTTAAAGCCCAGGTTCATCAATTTTATAATGAAAACTTGGTGGTCACTTACATTATGGTACACTTAAATATTCTTTCAAGCCTATTTATCATTTTATTTTAAAACAGAACTAAAAAAAAAGAATCAAACTCTTCAAAAATACATTAAGATAACCATTCCCTCTTTTTTCTTAAGAAAAGCTTTTTCTGCATTCATTCACTGGAAGAAGCTCTGGTCTATTTTGATTGACATGAGCAACTTAAGGAACCAAAGTGTGGTTTTTCTTTTAATTCAATTCTCTATACACTCTGAAATTCCATAACTGTTACCTCATTTAACTGCCAAATATCATGTTTGTCTAATAATTGCAATCTTTGGGGAAATAGTAAAATGTACATACAAAGAGAGTTCCCATGGAAACAATATAAACACACACTGCATATTAGAAAAATATTAATCTTATTATTAATAACAACAAGAAAAGTTAATTGTGCTTTTTCCCTCTGAGTATTTCCATGGCTGATGAAATCAACAGAAGGTGATAACTGCATTAGGGCCAAACAGAGGGCTTGTGAATCAGGTCTTCTTATGTTCCAACCCAAGCTCTGTGCTAGCAATTTTCTACAATGCTATGAAAACAAGTAACTGTACGTCATTGTCAATTATTACTGTACCACTTGGTGTTGTCTTCATCCAGTCCTGGAGCATAGTAAAGTGACAGCAATATGTCTCAAAGAATGTCCTTTACAAAGCAAGGATTTATGTGAATTTGCTTTCAAAAACAAACATTTGTAATAATTTTAAAGCCCTGTTAGAGTCTGTTTATAATTAAGTTAATTAATTCTACTATTTGGAATGGAAAACCTCAGACTTCTTTTTGGGATTGGGTGGATTTTTTATCAACTTAACAGTTAATTTCCATCATAAATCAATATATCTCATCATCTGTGCCATTTGTTTCAACCACTTTCCCCAGCACAAAAACAAATTTTTTGTTAAACACAAATACATACAAAGAGGAATCTAAAGAATAAATGCCACTGTATTAATGATGATTATTATAAAGGCAAGAACACAATTCCAGATTATTCTCAAAGTGTCCCTCCAGAAGGAGCATTCATAAAGAGAAGTTTTTGTCTTGGAAAACTACCAGTGTCCCTCCAATTTCATTACTGAGGAAGCCAACAGAAATCAGCATGCTTCTTTTCCACAAAAGCTCCCTTCCAATCTTTGCAGCTGTCTGCCACACATATGTTTCATATCACTGTACTTATGGTATGTTATGTCCTATAGAGCATCTTCTCTGTGCTTCTGTTGTGAGACATGAGGCAGATTTTCCTAATAACATATAAAAACTCTATTAGTGGCATGATAGTTCATTTAACTCATATCCTTAATGCCTACATTATAGGGAAATGACTAATTTCAAATTAGTTCCTCTATATTAAATATTTTATACATAAATAACTGTAAACATAAGAGTTCACAAATAAAGTGGATATTCAATAAGTTGATTCTGGGTTCATAGTTGGGGAAAAAGTAAAGGTTGAAACAATGAGGTTAAAATTCAAACTATTTTTTTTTTTTTTAAGTTTTACGAGTGAGTGAATGCTAACAGATTCAAATTCAATAAAGAGAAAACATTTTAAAAATACCAGTTTGGGAAGGATAGGTTTTGGTACCTATGGTTAGATTATAATCAATGGTACAAAAAAAGATAACTGTTATCTTTATTTCATAAGGTGACCATAGGTTTGAAAGGCAGGCCAAATTTAAAAGTAAACAAGTATGTAAGAAAGATAGCATATGAAGTGGTAGGTACTTATTTAGCCTTCTTTGGACCACTAATTTTAGTTCCAAGCTTAATCAAACAGAAGAACATGAAAAAGAGAGCTCAAAGCAAGATCACATAAATGATTTAGAGGACTAGAAATTGAATTTCAAAACAAAGAAATTATTTCAGTTGAGAGAGACACTGAGGAACAACTGAACAATTGTGTTTAATAACAGAAATGGCTGTTATTTAGATTTTGGTCTCCAACTTAAAAAGGAAAAATAGGCTCAAAATGCCATGGATTTAGATAATTAGGAAAACTACCTGAGAGTGACTGTACTAGGATATTAGGATGAGTTTTCTAGGAAACAAGCTCTATTTTCCTGTCTTGAGATCATTAATAACATCAAATGAGATGTTTGATGTTATTATCATGGGTCTTGAATGCTTTTGAGTCACTTGAATTTGGGGATGTATGGATGATCTTTCAAAGCCCTGTACAACTCTCTTTCAGAGAACTTGCTTAACTCTGAGGACATAGAAAAATCAAAAGTGCACAATTTGGTTTAGTTATCACAGGGGACTATATAGGAAAACTTTATTTCATAAAGCTTTAATTTATTTGCTTTTTAAATCTATTTGACAATAATCAATTCTAATTATATTCATCAGCAGCCATTATTAATGTTCTATTCAATGATTTTAGAAGGAAAAGGGGATTATAGCAAAGTGAGATGCTGTATTATTCACAAAGAAGTGGCTGTAAAAACTTTCTACATTTGGTAAAAGCAAACAAGGAAAATATGATTATATTTCTAAATTCCTCTACTTTATCAACTAACTGTATATCTCTGAAATCACTTTTAGAACTGTTGCTAAGGCCATATCTCAACAAAATTTACTCTACAGAATTCGGTTACTACTCAACTATGTGGGAAAACTGGACAGCAGTCATTTTGAGAATATTTTTCAAATTCTTTAAAAATATATATATATTCTTTAAAAAATGAATTAGAAATTTGAGAAAGCTGTTGGTATTGCATGTGGCTTAAGAAAGGTTTTTTATGTTATAACCAAACCTTATAAACCTTTTGTGGTGTTGAATAAATTCTGAATATTATTGGATCTTGGGGAAGAAATAAATAAGAATCTTGCTTTTAGCTTAGATGGGAAAAAAAAACATAACTTGAACCATTATATTTGCAGGTTATATACTTCCAAATTATATAAATTCAAATAAATTAGAGAAAAAACAATGGACCTAAACATTCCAACTTTTAAAAGATTTTATGTAGAGTTTTAGTATGTGGTTTTTATATTTGAATCTAAGTACTTTGTTATTTCATACATTCATGTGAATTCCCCATTTAATAAATAATTTAAAACATATAAGGATGAATTCCTTGTGGCTACAGATAGGCTTTGGTTTAAATTTTACTTTAAAAACATTGTTTAAAAGTTTTTTAGTGACAGTTTTATAAAGCACAAGAAAATATAATCCAGGAATGTAGTAAAGTTGAATAATTCTACTCCTTCCCTAATTTAACCTCTCTCACCTCTTCACCCCAACAAAAACCAATCTGATTTTGTTCCTTAATCATATTAGTCACTTAATGTAAAACTGATCATAGAGCTTGAACTACCTGAAAATCATGATTAACCAGAATGTGACTTAAAAGAATGCATACCTTTCTACTTTTAGGGATAGGTTTTTGTTATTGTTGTTTTATTTTCCTGAAAATGATTTAGGAAGACTTTTTTGTTGTTTCAGGGTTTAGGAGCAAAAGCTTGTATTTTCCATGGCTTTTTATAGCTAGTTTGTATTGCACTGATACAGAACACGTGGCTTTAACACTCAGAAAGTTGAGTTCATGGGAGAAGAGCCAAGCAGAGGTATTTTAGCTGGGAGACAGCAATATATGAAACCAGTCTTTCTGTTGCACTAACATTTATTCTACTGAATAGTCAGACATCCCAGTTCTGTGTCTTTTGGTTAATAAAGAATACCTGTGTATATCACTTTAGAAACCAATTACATAATAAGCTAATGTATTTTCTACTCATTTCAGTTACATATTGCTATAACCAGATATACTGGAAACAGTAGAACCTTTACACTATATTTCAATATAACATGACTCTATCTTGAAAATACTTAAGATCAGCCAAAATTCTAGGAGACCTTTGTTTAGGTGTCACAATATAGACTTCGCAGTAAATATCATAAGACCATGGATTACACACTTGTTTAATCAAGCATTCTACATGCATGATACTAAGTCATGTGACTACTATTGATAAAATATATTAAGGTAATTTGAAAATTTTAAATGATTACATCATGAATGTTGAAAATGTTACTTATAACCAGTTTTAGGCAGTGAATCTAACTGAAGATAGCCTTTGTTATTCCTTACAAAGAACATATATTTTATGTCAATATGATACTAGATAATTACATTTTAGAAGGCACATATTCTATTACTTGAAATAAAATGAAATATTTTATTTATAGCATAGTTCATTTTTAGGTACTAATTCAACGTTATGCTTATTGTCAGTTCCAAGTACTTACCTGCAATTACTGAAATTTAAATTCTTTGCCATTTCAAAGAAAGACATACCGAACAAAGACAAAATAAATAGAATTCAAGGATTCAATTCAGCCACAGTTGGCCTCAGTGTTAAAGCATCAACTATCTAATTGTACTTTAGGACTGTTATTAATATAGAAGAACTAATCAGAAAAATATTCTGTGGTGCGATAGCACAGTGCAGACCTTAACTTGACATTTCCTCATCCCATTTAAAAAACCATTTGTCAAACTTCCCGTTGTTTTAACCATCTCGCTACTGTTCCGTTAGCTTGCTTTTGAAAGTCACTGAACTATTTCCATTCTGTGCACACACTTCAAGACATGGAATCCATTCCAATCGCTAGTTGAACATCAATGCATGCCTTTGAATTATTATTATTTTTTTAATCTGTAACTTTTAAAAAGGTATCAAACACTTACGTTTAAAGCAGTAGGCATCAAATCTGCTATCAGGGGGAGGGAAGCCTGTCTGGTTCTCAAAACGATACAGGGTTCTCACCCCAAGTAAACCACCTCCACACTGGGCCCTGGCCACAGTCACAGGGTGGCGAACGCTGGCGTCCATCAGCCACCCGTAATCGCACTGGTCAAGGCCGTTCCTCCAAGCCGCCTGGAGTTCCCCAACTGTCGCCAGCCGAGCATCCTGGTTTTCACACTCTTCTTCAGCCTCCTTATAGGTGAATTTATTGGGATCAGTGATGTGGAACACATCACCTGAAAAAAGAAGAGGGAAAAAAGCCTAAGTTTTACTATTCATTCCTTTCCAGTTAGAGGTCGGAGGTAGCATGTAATACTTTTTTCATGGCATGGTAGCAGCTTCTGACACTTTAAAGCAGAAAACATAATGGTTATTTAATTTTGTTACTATTCATGTATGATAAAAAAATAATATACACCAGAAAACTTTCGTTATATATATAAACTTCTTTATCACATGACTGCTTCTATGACCTCTGGGTATATTAAGAAGAAGTCATGTGACAATAAAGTTACAATAAATTCTTTAAGATGAACAAATTTTTCCAAGTGATTCTTTGGATTATTGCCCAGGAAATGAGTTTCTCTTTAATAAAAGAGCCTGTGGTGTACTTATTAACATTGCCTGCTGAAAAGAGAAAGCTGTATTGAACTGTCACTGGAGTTATTTCACTTTGTTTATCCTAAAATCAAATAGAATTCTCTGACCCTCCTTCTCATCTATCACTACCATCAAAATGGATTAACTCTCATCAAATTGAACAACAAAACAGGAAAACCACCAAGGTTTGAAGTCGGAAGGGATAGAAGCAGGATGCAATGCTGTCATCTGCCTTCCTGTCTGAGGCACAGGGCTGCTGGGATTGTTATGCAGGTCATGGCCTGCACATGGTCAGGGATGAGAGTGAATGGAGACCAACACAGGCTCCCACTCAACCAGCCAGAGACCAAAGTTCCCCTGGAGGAAAGGGCCCCTTTTTTCTACTTGCTCTGCCCAGGGTAGATACCTTTTGCAATCTGTCTGCCCAGAGGGGCACCTTTTTCAGTTCTTACAAAGACACCATGTGTGTTAGCAGGGGCTCTAACTAGGGTTGAGAGACTCTCATATTTGTTTATTGATTAACAAAGGCTGAATATTTACTTTGTTCATTACCATGCCCAATTAGCAGAGAATGTGTTCATTATCATTTAACGTGTCATAATAAAATATTCTGGAAATGCCAGGCAGTTTGTTAGATTGGAATTTTACTTGGGTAACTAACAAAACAATTGGCTGAAATAAACTCAGTGCAAATTAAACGATGCTTTTCACATATAAGCAAAAGTGGCTTTTAAAAAGGCAGAGGCAGAATTAGAGAATGTCTAAGCAAATAGAGCAGCAGGAGGAGAATATACAATGAAATAGACAGGAAGCTAAATATTGATAACCCATTATTATAGCAGCTGTGGGTCCTGTTTCCATCTCGGCAAAGCCACTTTCTGATTCTATGACATATTAGACAACTGGGACTCCAGAGCTCTCATGATTCAGATCTTTACCTGACTAAATTTCAAGGTAACAAGCAATTGTTCAGAATGAATAGAACTCTGAGTGTGTAAGAAAACTTAGTCACGGAAAAAATGGCCAAATCACACATATCAGTTTTTCTCACCCATAAATCTAAAATTGCTAAAACTCGGTCAAATCCCAATAAGTGCTATTTGAAGAAGAGAAAGAAAAATAAATTTTATTTGACTAAAATAAGTTAAGTTATGAGTGTGAATAGGTTTGTCCTTAACAATCCGGTCTAGTCAAAAATATTAATCTCAGATCTAAAAATGTACTCTAAAAATGTAACGTCCCCCTCCCTACACCTTCAATGTCTCCCTCCTTAATATGTTTTAAAAGTATAAGGGTCACAGTACCAGTTAGAGTATGTATTCCACAATATTTGTTAAATGAATGGCACTTCAAGTTCTTGTTAAGAAACAAGGTGCTCTTTTTCTTCCCTCCTTCTCAAGCAGCACATTAAATAAAGCTAATTCTGTGGCAGGGCTTTGGGGACCTGCTGTCTGGAACAGGTGATTGATCTCACCTATGGATTTGGCTCAAAGCAACAGGGGGAAAGGCAGACGGAAAGACTGCGTCTGTGCCACCCTGAGCAGCCTCATTCACTTCGTATTACACTTGCATTAAGCCTGAAAGGAATGCAAGTGTGAAAGAGGGCAGCACGCCAGCCCGCTTCCCCTCAAGGTAGGACACTTGGGTTTGTTATTACAGCTGGCATATCATTTTTGTTGCCTTAGTTTCCTGCACTGCGAGGGGCTTCTACTTTAAGATAAAACTACTGTTCCTCAAGTAACAGGAGTGATCGGCCGACCAGTGCAGGATAAAGAAATATAATTAATTGAGTAAAACTTGGCTTCTCTGAACAGCTATGTTAGTCGATATGTTGGGGGAAATCGACTTCACCAAATGCGGTCAGACCAAAGGGCTAATGAAGAATGACGCCATGATTTCACGGTTAACTGGTTTCCTTGTCTTAAACAGCATACGTGTTTGCAGTATTCAAGGAAAAAAAGATTTTAGAAGGTGCTGGCAGGTTAAAAAGAGAATTCCGTTATTATTATTAAATCATAAAGATCTACTTATAGAACTTTTCGTATAGAAACTTGTTAAATCTGACTTTATATCAAAATATCAATTATTTAATTCATTTTTTGGACGATACAATTTCTATCTATCCAATACCCATAAAATAATGATTTCACTTATTTGATTAAATTCTATTCCCTAAAGCCACCTATTTTCCTTTTCATTTATATGTAGAAATTTTTCAAACATGGCAAATAACATTTAGAAAAAAATATTGAAAGAGATCACCTTTGGGTTTCATGTAACTCAGATGAAAAAGGAAGATTTAACTAACATTGAGTTTAAAGTGAGAATTGAAGGACTTTGTCTATAAAGATATATATGCCATAATTGTCTTATTTCAAAATATTGAGAAAAAGAAAGAAAAATATTTATTTCGACTGTTTCAAAAAATAAATATCTAAGACTTCCTGAATCATAATTGTTTAACATGAACTTTACCTTGCCCACTTCAAAAATTTAATGATACAGTGAAGCATCCACACTAGAATTATCTTACGAGATTTTGAAGCGCTTATGATCAACACTCAATCTATACACAGTTAAAAGTTACATGTCAAAATTTTGCTCTTCCCATGTATCAACCACAAACTATTAAGGCCAGGACAACTTACAATTTCCTAAAATATGCCAGAATATCCTGGCATCAGTTTTATACTAAAATTCAAGCCAGAAAAAAAAAAAAGTAAATCAATAGGTAATACGCAAATAACAGTAATTGAACTAATTCATATTACTAAGACTTCTTGATTTCTAAGATCTATAACTTCTTGTCAGGTAGCTTTTGATGCCTGGTTTTAATTAGATAATCCTTTGACATTATATGATTTTTATCAGATATAATACAAATGTAGGTGATCTGCTATTTAAACCAGAATTTATCTATTAAAAGTGTTTTGTTGAAGATATGGTTCAGGAAGATTTTTAACTTATGGTTCAAGTTATAAGAACATAATTTCAAAAAATGTCTTCCACAGAAAACTGGTGACCCTTGAGATGTGACTAGATATTCTAAAGAGAAGATGTTCCATGGACTACTGCATTCATAAAACGAACACAAGTTATGTGACAGGTTTCATTTCTATAAGACTTCTCAGAGCATTTAATGTTATAGTATTTATTGGGAGTCCCCATACCATTTGACAATAGAACACTACTCCTTTCCTCATAGAATACTACCTAATAGTCCATGGATCTGTTTCATGGAATAGTTTGGAAAACACTGTTCTAGAGACATCTGTGTTTCAATGAAGAGGAATCTCAATGATCCGTAACAAGTATAACTTAGTATTAAGTTTCTGGTTGCCTGTGTATAAACCTGCTCAATATAGAAGCAGAGTAAATGGGTCGGGTAACAACACAGATTCAAAGCAAAAGCCAAAAAACTAAAGAGAGTACAAAGCAAAGGACATATGAAAACCATTTGCCCCTCAGGGTTGCTTCAAAGACTGCAAGTGACCAAAGGGGCTGGGACAAAACAGGCAGCCCTGATGAAGCGTCTAAAATGGAATTTAAGCCGAACACGAAAGGAACTCATTTCTTAAAATGAAGACCTTTTGACAAAAAGTAAAACGATACAGCAGATAAAAACATCAGACTTTCTGCTCAATAATAAATGGTAGGCACATCCTTCTATACCATATACTGCAGGTTGTGGCTAAACACTAAACACTTTTACATTGAAAAAGCAGTTGAGACATTAAGATTTTCAAATTTTTATTGATCTTTCAATTTTTAAATCTATAGTCGAGAATTATTTATAGATCAAATTATATGCTCTAAACTGTAGCACAGTGGAATGAAATTAGACAGATATTAGGTATAGTCCAATAACAATAAAAGTAACACCAATCTTGGTACAAAAATAAATGATCATAAAAGGATGCACCAAGAGATAAAAGCTAAAGTCCAGAGGCAAAGCCAAATCAGGAACCAAAGAACGGGAGAAAAAGAAAGCAAACATGGAGAATCAAGCAAAGCAACACAGTGCATTTGCTTAGTTTCTCTCCAACATGACTTAATTGGTCAGGTTGTGTAAGTTCCTATTCTGACTTAAGAGTGTCTTAAGGGCAGCTTTTTGCCTCTGAAGTGGGTAATAAAAGTTCTTTATGAGTTTTTATCAAAGTCCCACCTGTAGAGTGAGAGGGGCAAAAGCAAAGCCTTCTGTGAGAGAAAACACCTATTTTATTAGCATAGCACAAGGCTGTGTTCTTTGTCTACACATGAATACTTGTAACTAAACAATTTGATGTGTTTTAGATTTACTGGATAGTTTGCCCTCCAGGAAGGCAAGCCACTTTTATCAGCTGAAAATGAGTCCACTATTAACTTCCAGAAGTTAGTCCAGAAAATGAGTCCACTATTAACTTCCTCATCAAAGCCGCTATGACTACAGGACACTAATTATCAAATTTGTAATTAGAATATAGATTTGGAACATTTTTATAAATGTTATCTACCTATGAGAGAATACTTCATTTTTCCCAGTTAAAGAGAACAAATAAAATGTCAGGAAAGAAATATACAAAATAAATTTTATAGACCTAAAACAATGCCATACTTAAGACAAAATGTCAAGTTAATTTAAGTAAGAATTTATCAA